CTCTATCAGCAGTCATTGAAGAATAAAGGGAACAAGGTTGAGACGAATTTTGCTTTTGATGATGATGACCTCCTTGATGAGCCTGACAGCTCAACCCATTTGGAAGTTGGCGATTTTCTAGAAGAAAAACATTGATTATTTTCTATGTTTCTGGCATTGCACCATTATCCCGTTTGCTTTATTGGACTTTTATTTTTATAGCATTATGTTTTAAATTGTTTACTTTATGGATCATGTTACGGTCTATGTTTTGAACTTATCATTTGGTTTTTGCTATGGTTAGATTAATTTACTCGAACCTTTAATTTGATGTGGACATTATATTTGACAATTTTATTCATTGTGGACACTTGATTAACATGATTCTTTTATTGATTTAGATAATTTTAATTTATAGTGAAAATGGACACAAATGTTGTCCAAATTACTATGAATGGTGAAGATTTGTGTCTTGCGGATAGTGCTACTACGCACACAATACTTAGAAATATTAACTATTTTTCTGAGTTGAAAATGCAAAAGGCAAATGTTAACACCATTATTGGTGCCAATAAATTTATAGATGGCTCCGGAAGAGCCAATCTAGTGTTGCCTGGAGGTACAAAATTCCGTATTGACGATGCATTATATTCCCCCAAATCTAAGAGGAATTTACTAAGTTTTAAGGATATCCGCCGAAATGGATATCATATTGAGACAACCAAAGAAAGAGATACTGAATATCTCTACATAACCGATACAATTTCGGGTATTAAAAGAGTGTTGGAAAAATTACCTGCATTTTCATCTGGCTTGTACTACACGAAAATTAGTACAATTGAATCATATATGACCATAAACCAGAAGTTTATGGATCATGATAAGTTTATTATTTGGCATGACCGGTTAGGCCATCCCGGATCAACAATGATGCGAAGAATTATTAATAACTCATGTGGACATCCACTCAAGAACCAGAAGATTCTTCAAACTAATGAGTTATCTTGTGTTGCTTGCTCTCAAGGAAAATTAATTACTAGACCCTCACCGGCTAAAATTAGAACATAATCACTTTCCTTTTTGGAACGTATTCAAGGCGATATATGTGGACCAATTGATCCACCATGTGGACCATTTAGGTATTTCATGGTTTTAATCGATGCATTGACTAGATGGTCACATGTATGCTTATTATCGTCTCGCAACCTAGCATTTGCGAGATTACTAGCTCAATTAATTAGATTAAGAGCGCATTTTCCTGATTATCCAATTAAAACTATTCGCCTTGATAATGCCGGTGAGTTCACCTCCCGAGCTTTTAATGATTATTGTATGTCCATTGGGATAAGAGTAGAACATCCTGTAGCACATGTTCATACTCAAAATGGTCTCGCGGAGTCACTAATTAAACGACTCCAACTTATTGCAAGGCCATTACTTATGAGATGTAAACTCCCTATTTCAGCTTGGGGGCATGCAATTTTACATGCAGCAACATTAATTCGCATCAGGCCAACGAGTTATTGTGAATCATCTCCCCTACAATTGGTTTTGGGTAATGAACCAAATATTTCCCATCTAAGAACATTTGGATGTGCCGTATATGTACCTATTGCTCCACCACAACGTACTAAGATGGGACCCCAAAGAAAGTTGGGAATATATGTTGGCTATGAATCTCCTTCCATAATAAGATATCTAGAGCCATCGACGGGGGATTTATTTACAGCTAGATTTGCTGATTGTCATTTTAATGAATCAAATTTCCCAACATTAGGGGGAGAAAGAAAGCAGCTGGAGAAAGAATTATGTTGGACTGTACCATCATTATTACATCTTGATCCTCACACTAAAGAATGTGAAATTGAAGTCCAAAAGATAATACATTTACAAGGTTTAGCGAATCAATTGCCAGACGCTTTTACTAATACTAAAGGAGTGACAAAGTCACTAATACCAGCTGCCAATGCTCCTATTAGATTAAATGTCCCAGCAGGACAAGTCATAGCAAACGAATCAAAAGCACGCATGAAGCGTGGGAGACCAATCGGTTCCAAAGATAAAAATCCTCGAAAAAGAAAGGGAGCAAAGAATGAAAATGGCCAAGAAGAGGATAAAATAAATTTAAGAGTAGACTCTCCTGAAGAGAACATTGACATGACTATAAATCCAGAAAAGGATCAGGTACCTGAAAATGAAGAGATCTCAATAAATTATGTCGTGTCAGGAATTGTTTGGAACCGACATGAAATCGACGTCGATGATGATGAAGAAAATGATATTTTTGCATATCATATAGCGCTAGATATAATGAATGAAAATGAGGATCATGAACCAAGAACAATGCAAGAGTGTAGACGCAGAGATGATTGGCCAAAGTGGAAAGATGCAATTGAGGCTGAATTACAATCGTTAGAAAAACGAGAAGTTTTTGGACCCGTGGTTAAAACACCAGAAGATGTTAAACCAGTGGGTTATAAATGGGTCTTTGTGCGCAAAAGAAATGAAAAGGGTGAAATTATTAGATATAAAGCCCGTTTAGTTGCACAAGGATTTTCACAAAGACCCCACATTGATTACGATCAGACATATTCTCCTGTGGTGGATGCAACTACTTTTAGATACTTAATTAGTCTGGCAATACGTGAAGGACTGGATTTACGCCTCATGGATGTAGTGACAGCCTATTTATATGGCTCACTCGATACTAATATATATATGAAACTTCCGGAAGGTTTTAAGCTGCCTGGAGCATGCAATAGAGGTTCTCGAGAACAATATTCTATTAAACTCAACAGATCTCTATATGGTTTAAAACAATCAGGGCGCATGTGGTACAATCGCCTAAGTGAATACTTATTAAAAGAAGGGTATAAAAATGATGATATATGCCCATGCATTTTTATCAAGAGATCTGGTCAGGAGTTTGTAATCATTGCAGTATATGTTGATGATCTAAATATAATTGGAACTCCTGAACAACTACAAAAGGCAGTTGATTGTTTAAAAAGGGAATTTGAAATGAAGGATCTTGGAAAAACCAAATACTGCCTTGGACTACAAATTGACCATTTGAATAATGGTATCCTTGTGCATCAAACAACCTATATAGAGAAGGTGCTAAAAAGATTTTTAATGGATAAGGCACATCCTTTGAGCACCCCAATGGTTGTAAGACAACTTGAAGTTGATAAGGACCCATTTAGACCGTGTGGAGATAATGAAGATATTCTTGGTCCAGAAGTACCATACTTAAGTGCAATTGGGGCACTAATGTATCTTGCAAGTCACACTAGACCTGATATATCCTTTGCTGTAAATTTATTGGCAAGATATAGCTCTTCTCCAACGCGAAGACATTGGAATGGGGTCAAACAAATACTTCGTTACCTTCAAGGTACAAAAGACATGGGTCTATTATTTTCTAACGTGTCCAAAACAGAATTGATTGGTTTTGCAGATGCAGGTTATTTGTCTGATCCTCATAAAGGGAGATCACAGACTGGATATGTGTTTACATGTGGAGGAACAGCAATTTCGTGGCGTTCCATGAAGCAAACAATTGCGGCAACATCTTCTAATCATGCAGAGCTACTAGCCATTCATGAAGCCAGTCGAGAGTGTGTATACTTAAGAAGTGTAATTCGGCATATTAGACAGTCATGTGGATTATGGTGTGAAAAGGAGCCTCCAACCATCTTGTTTGAAGATAATGCAGCTTGTATCCATCAACTTAAGGAAGGATTCATCAAGGGAGATAGGACGAAGCATATTTCACCAAAATTTTGGTATACACATGACATCCAGAAAGAGGGTGAGATTATCGTTCAACAAATTCGTTCAAGTGACAATATTGCGGACTTATTTACCAAGGCTCTTCCAACAGCAACCTTCAAGAAGTTAGTGCATCTGATTGGATTACGTCGACGCAAAGATCTTGAGTGATATATTCATTAGGGGGAGTAAATACGCGCTGCACTCTTTTTTCCTTACCAAGGTTTTGTCCCACAGGGTTTTCCTTGGCAAGGTTTTTAATGAGGCAGCATTCTTTAAGCGTATTTTTATGTATTTTTTTAGTAGTGTATATTTAAGGGGGAGTGTTATGTAATGTATAAATATACACTTCTCCCCCTAACCCTAGCCCATGAGTACTTGATCAGGCCCATGTATGTAGCTATATATACCCCACTCTCCCTCATTGTACTTATCCATAAAAATGAGTTTTCAATACTTTATTTTCTTTTTCAATTTTTGGTTTGATCAGACTGTCGTTGTTGTTTTCAGCTATTTTTATTTCAGTCAGACTCTTGCATTAGATTGGGGTGATGAGGGTTTTACTCTAACCATGTTAGGTTCATTTAGACTCATAACAGGACCAACGAGTCATATTGCTTTTTCCAGGGTGATTGACTTTAAGTCTGATTCAAGAGTCGGTGGTTGGAGGTGATTCTTTTATCTTACTGTTCTCTTGTTGAATGTTTTGATATCAATTTAAACTGCCTTGTTAAAAAAAACTATTAATAGAAGACTAAAATTGGTAAATAAGTTAGAATTGAAGATAAAAATGACAAAAATTGGCCAATTTAACATGTCGGACTCCCGACTAAAGGAGTGTTTGCTAAGGGAGTGTTTGCTGGAGCTTTTAAAAAGTGTTTTTCAGTTTTTAGCTTAAAAAAGCTGAAAAGAGTGTTTTCAAATGACAGATTCTGCTTAAATTAATAACTTGAAAGCTAAAAGCTGGAAGTAGGTAGAAGAGTGCTTTAAACTGCTTTTCACTTTTTCTATTACACAAAAAACACTTATTTTAACAAACACTACCAACTTTTACTTTTTTCAGAATCATTTTTTTTCTCAAACACTACCAACTTTTACTTTTTTCAGAATCATTTTTTTCTCAACACACTTCCAACTTTTACTATTAAGTACTATCGTATTTTCTCCAAAATCACTTTAAAAAAATTAGGTATTGCTTCGAACTATTTCTGGTATTAACTTCTTAAATTGCTCATTTGAAGAGGCAGCCTGGCAAGCACAGAAAGGAACTACATCAGAATCATCGGATGAACTCACACTTTCCACTCAAGTTCCAAATATTTTCTATAGAGTGATCAAAATGACTGTTACAGCTGGAATTGGGTACGCACTGTTGGCGTTGGGGCCTTCTCTTTCGCTATTCGTCGCAGTTATCTCTCAGAAGCCATTTCTTATACTAACTCTTCTCTCAAGGTTAAGTTTGTTGATTTTGTTCAATTTTTTTTATATATTTCATCATAAGTTTGTGCGATGTCAAAATTGAGGCTTTATTAAGCGATTTTGCTTTTTGGTTTTAGTACTTTGGTGTGGTTGACAAGCCTGATCGTATTGTCTGCGCTATGGAGAGCATTCCTACCTACGGAAAAGACAGTGTGGTGGCTTTATCTACTCATTCTCTTAAGTTCAGTGGCATTTCAAGAAGCTCTCCGCCCTTTACTGTGGAGATTGTACAAGTATATTCTTGTGACTCTTCTATTGAATTAATTTGGCCTACATGAAGCATGTAATGAGATTCTACATATTTTTATTTACATTATGTTGAAGCATTTAGTTAATTTTGTACTTTTGCAGTAAAAACACTAGTAACATGTGAAGTTAATTAGTAGGCATTTCGGTAGCAAGTCCCGTTGTTTGATATGAGTTTGGTCTTGCTGCTCTCTATTTCTTTTGCCTGCTACACATAGTTGTTATGGAGTATGGAGACAGTAATGGTGCCAAGGTAATGTCCAGGGCGATGACGCATTTATGGCGTCTCCACATGACACCAAAAATAAATCCGTAGTACTAAAATATGAACTATAGACACTATAAATCTATGATTCAGTTGATTTCAGTCACCAAAAGATGAGAAATAAATTGAATACCCACATTCTAACCGAAGCATGTGAAGTTAAAATTGTTTGAAGTGATTCCATAAAATAACTTTATATCAATAAAAACAAAGTTGCATGTCTTCCAAAATATGTCAACTTGTTTGTGTGTGATGATTATGATATAAGCATCATCAATTATCACAGTCCTCATCATCATCTGGATCTGAATATGATAACAATGAAACATCATCCTCACTCATTTCACTCTCGAAAGGATCTTCAATCTCACCCATCCCATCTTCGTCTTGCAGCTGATGTGTGGTTTTAGTAGCCCCCTCTGGTGCAGCTTCCTGACTCTGTCATTACATTAGTTGAGCAGTTTTTTTACTTTACATTAGGTAGTGTCTTTATTTACTTCTTATTAGGGTTTTTATTAATATTATGGGCTGACTGGTTTGTTAATAATTATCAGGGCCAAAGCCCATAAGTAACTAAGTAAACATGTTAATATTTGTATAAAAATATGGCGCGCAAGGCGATGGCGCCGCCAATATGGCAGTATGGCACTGCCATGTGTAGAGTAATTGTCAGGACTCGGGAGGGCTTTTTGTGGCAAGGAGGCTTTGTATCGCCATATGCGCCAACTATGCTACTACTAGATTTATATAATAGTTAGCTCCATTAGATGTCTTTGAAGATCATGTTGAAGATTTAGGGAGTGTTTGCTAAAGATTAATAAAGTGCTTTTCAGCTTTTGGCTTAAAAAAGTTGAAATGAGTGTTTTCAAATGACACCTTCTGCTTAAATTAATCACTTAAAAGCTAAAAGGTGGAAGCAGGTAGAAGGCTGCTTTAAACTGCTTTTCACTTTTTCTATTACACAAAAAACACTTATTTTACCAAACTCTATCAACTTTTACTTTTTCAGAACCACATTTTTCTCAAACACTACCAACTTTTACTATTAAGTACTTTCTCCAAAATCACTTTTAAAAAATCACTTTTATGAAGTAGAAGCAATCGCAAACACTCCCTTAACTTCCGTGCATGTTACAGAACGTCTAATGATGAAGCTACTCCAGAATGTGTAAAGAATTTGTCAACCAAACCATAAATTTCAGAGCTTTTTGTGTTATACAGATGGTTATATCATCTGCTTAAAGTGGTTGTCATTTTTTATCATCTGCTCAATTGAACCGACTAACCGAGTTTCCTACTAGTCATTTTAATCTGCTTAAAGTGGTTGTAGTGGTTGGTTTTATGCCATTTTCTATCTTCAGGTCTGGACCATTCTTTCAATGTTCTACCTCATTTAGACTTGCCTTGAAGAATCTGATTAATGTTTCTTAAATTACATCTTCTTTACCTAGTAGTTGTATTTAACTTTTGTTCTGTTGGCTGTTGCTTTGTGTTGCTTTTACTCTGTATTTATTTATTTATTTATTTAATTTATTCAGAATTACAACTAAAAAAAATCATTTCACATGGAGCCTATTTTAGGAGGCTTGAAGATGTATTAGATGCCTTTGCTGATAAAGTATCCAAACCACGCCTTTTTACCACTGATAAGATGCAGATTGCTCTCGGTAAGCTTTTGCAGGTGCTGGTTCTTGGTTATATATGATCACAATAAATATATTACTAGAGTGCTTTATGCATTGCTAGTTTGAAGGTCATTACATCAGATTATTTTTCGTATTTTCCAAATTAAACTAGATTTGGAAAAAATGGTGATCATCATCATTTTCACATTAACCGTGTACTCGTGCCATTCGAAAAAGGGGAGTGGCAGATATTTAGCAGAAGATGAGATGTTTCATATAACTAAATACATATATTCTTTCTCTTTATGTTGCTTATTATAATTGTAATTTCTTGCCTTTCTCGAATTGGCAGCTGGTGGTATGGGTCATGGCGTGGCACATGCTATATTCTTCTGTCTAAGCCTGTTGACTCCTGCATTTGGGCCAGGGACATATTATGTCAAACAATGCTCACAGATGTCGTTTTTCTTGGTTTCTTGTAAGTTTGAATTGACGATTCCTCTGCGATCTTGGACCTTCCATATATTGAAAGAATTACATATATGATTTACTGAATGCAGTCAACCATATTTTATTTGTTTATGATGATGATTTTGTCATGGTTATGTCATTTGTACACAACCAATGTGATATAACTAATATACTTTTGGGAAATTTGGCATTGGTATTTCATGTGTACTTGAATATTTAACCTTGCACCCCATGTCTTATTTTCCTTGATTTTTGCATCCTGGATGGGGTGCCAAGTCGTATACTAAGGTAAACATGAAGTGTGACTAGCGCAAAAGTATGGACTTTGCACCCTATGTTTACTCCAATATTTGACTTTGCACCGCACTCAGGGTGCAAAATCAAAGTGATTAACACACGGGATCCAAATGCCAAATTTCTCGATATATTTTTCACAACCATGTTTTCTCTAGAATCAGTCATGTTCACAATATGCGTATTGATAAAAAATATCAATCTTAACAACATGGTATTGGAAGGTTCTACAACTTCATCTCATGTTTCCTTCATAAGAAGGTTGTGACGGGAAGGGCATCATAATGTGCCACTGTTTTTTTGTTTTGCATGATTTTCAGTGTTACTATTAAGCAACTTAAAACTTAATCTCACCGGCCCCTGGCCCCTACTTGCTTGCATCTACGACTTAGAATTTTCACTTGTGTTTTTATTTTTCAATATACAAGTTAATGGATACATAGTATATATTGTTTCATGTGTCTTTTTTACACATATATGCAGCAATAATAGCTCTTGCCTTTGTTACCATCCATACCTTCTCAATGGTCATAGCATTCAATGGATATGCAGAAGGAAATAAATCGGACCAGATTTTTGTCCCCGTAGTTCATCTATTTGCTGCAATGTTTGTGAGTTCCTTGTCTATCATAAAAAGACCAACAATGCTTTGCATTTTGTGTTGCATATAATAAGGTCTTCTTCTGCTTGTAGTGATGATCATAGTTGGTGGAGCTGCTTTTATGTAGTTTATGATATTCTGATTCCCCCCAATATTAACTATATTAGATGGTTTTGCAGACTCTCATAAATCTTGCTCAAGGGGGTTGTGTTGTTGGTATACCTTTGTTGTATTTCATGGCAATGCTAACTTTGGGGTATTGCGGAATGATGGTGTTCAAGAGGCTTTCTGAAAACAGGAGCAGGCAAGCAAATTCATTCTAACTGCAGGCCCTTTCTCCCCTGGATTGAGGGAAGAGATTTTGCTTTAGATGATAGCTTTTGTGGGTAAAAATTTCTCTGAAAAAACATCCAACAAAGAAAGATAAAACTCTCTTATGTAAAGCCAGATCCCGCATCCCTACCAGGCCAGGACCAGAAGTCCTCAATGGGTAAATGGCTTTTTTACAAGAAAAAGCCGAAATGAAAGCCGTTTTGACTTTTGAGTAGTTTTTTATAGTAGCTTTTTTATTTTATATATTAAGATCCTAATATACCCTTTAATTTTACCTCATACATCAATTATTTAACAAGCAATCAAAAATAAAAATACTGATGAAAGTGTATTAACAATGATAAGAAATATCATTATGAATATTGTTACTATTTTATAATATTAATAATATTAATACTAAAATAAACGAATGTGTGTGTGTGTGCACACGTGTATATATATTGAAATGATAATTATATTAAGTAGTAGTAAATGTCATTAAGTTTTTCCCAAACTCATCAAAATATAAAAATATTAAAAGATAAGTTATACTCCGTATATGTATATATAATTCATATCCTTAATGTTTTTTTAGAGAACATCCTTAATGTTGATATCAATCGTTGAAACAATCGGCTATTAACTGTCAGTTAGCTTGCTATTGATAGTCAAACACCACTGATATAAGTGAAGAGTTAATTAATTACTCACACCTTGAAATCATAATTGCATATTTTGGCATAACCAATCATTAAATGACAGTATTAATGTTGTAATTGATAGTTTTCATGACACTAATTACTTTATTTAGGAAAATTATAATTATCTTATACGTAGTATTATAATTTCACATTATTTTACTCCTATTTAGGTGAATATCTTTTACTCTATAAATCACCAACATTGTAAATGAATGCCAGCATTGTTCCAAAAAGGGGTAAATATACAAAAATTGTATTGTTAGGTTGTGGGACCTGTTTGGATGAGAATTTTAATTGAAATTGTTGAATTGGTATTTTTTGATTGAGATTTTTAACCTATTGTTTTATGTTCTATGAATCGACATATATTTTATTACAATAGTTTAATTAAAGAAAATGGTATCACAAAAGTAGGACATATAAACTACTTGTCACCATTTCAACTATTATTTTTTTATTGCCATTGCGCTTTCTTAGGTTCCCAGTGCAGCTCTCGGGAGAATCGAGATCGATTGGACCGTCAAGTTTTCAACATGGAGGAAACACCGATTGAGAGACCACTCAAACTAGCCTCCTATTTACTCCTATTTAATTAGGGCAATATCTTTTACTCTATAATCACCAACATTGCAGCCAACAGGCCCAACATTGTACCAAAAAGGGACGAAAATATAAATATTGTATTGTTAGGTTTTGGGACTTTTTGGATTAGAATTTCATCTCAAATTGTTGAACTGCATATACTATATTTTATTACAATAGTTCTAATGAGTAACCTAAATTATAGTTAAATTTAATAAGTTAAAGAAAAGAGTATCACAAAAGGAAGACCTATATGGCTATATAGTATATACTACTTGTCATCATTTCAACTACTACATCTATATTTAAAAGTTTACTACAAGTAGTTTGGGCATACTATTTAAGGATGAAATAGTTTGGGCATACTATTTAAGGTAGAAAAATAGTTTAAAAAAAATACTTCCCCCATCCCGTAAAGGTTCGCCAACTTTGACTTTCACGTGGATTAATAAAGTAAAAACTGTGTGGTTGAAATTTGTGTAGATGATAGAGAATTAACTTTAGCCACATATTCTTTACTTTAAATGGAAATGACAAATTTTTTTGGGACATCCAACAACAACAACAACATCCAAGCCTTAGTCCCAAACGATATTGAAGTCGGCTAACATGAATCGATACATGATATCACCAACAGGAAAAGAAAGAAAATAAAGACAAAAAAGATAAGCTATTATAAAAAAGATAATATAAAAGAGATGAATATACATATAAAAGATAAAATAAAAAGGATAAAGTAATATTTATATATAAGGATAAAAATATAAAAGAAAAAGAGAAAAAAAAGAATAAAAAGAGTGGGGAAAAGATGATACAAGATCACTCCTCCACACGAATACCTGTCCTCCATTTTGTTCTCTCCAAAGTCATATCCTCATCCAATCCAAGAAGAAGCATATCACTTCTGACTCCCCTAACCCACGTCTGTTTGGGCCTTCCTCCCTCTCTCTTATGTGCCTCTTCTCCACACATCTCAACTCGTCTGACAGGTGCATCACTCGGTCTTCTATGCACGTGACCAAACCACTGTAGGCGTGACTCCCGCATCTTATCTTCAATAGGTGCTACTCCCACCCTTTGTCTGATTGTCTCATTCCTCACACGGTCCTTTCCAGTATGCCCACACATCCAACGCAGCATGTGCATCTCTGTCACACTCATCTTTTGAATGTGACATTGTTTCACCGCCCAACACTTCGTGCCATACAGTAATGCAGGTCTAATTGTTGTCCTATAAAATTTATTCTTCAGTCTAGTCGGCATACCTCGATCACATAGAAATCCTGACGCACTCTTCCACTTCATCCACCCTGTTTCTTTTTGGGACATCCAAAAAAGAAAATTTGGCAAACCTTTTCGGGACGGAGTGAGTATGAAAGAGAAGATAAAAACAGAAAAAATAAGGATATTTGAGTATTTTTAAAGAAAAAACTTATTAAAAAGGTAAAAAAGTAATAAACATTCAATTAAGGAAACATCATTTCTCATTAACTTTGCTTGTTCTTAGGTTCTCAACTCAGCTTTTAGGAGAATCAAGATCGATTGGCCATACATCGTCAAATTCTCTAACATGCGAGAGGAAACATATATTGAGACTTAGCTATGGAAATTCTTTCAAATTCGCCTCTTTAGTGATTTGAATCCAAGACGGCAATGGGGAGGGTTTTAAGTGACAAGTAGCCCACTTGGACCACTCTCACTTGTCAAGATTTTCTTTATTAATCAAGGAATATTATGATATTGAATCCCGATTCAAAAAATGACTAATTTTTCATATTGACAAAAATGTCAGTATCATGGTATAAAAATTGGAAAATCATAAATGTCACTAGCAATTTACTTCCTCTGTTCGGTTATAAGTGCAACATGCACTTGGGCACAAAAATTAAGACTAAAGGTGTTAAATTTGACTATTTTACCCTTAGCTTTTAAACACGTAAAGAGCAGCCACACAAAGAAAAGTGCTACAGGAACCAAAAGTGGATGAAATTACTGCAACCAAGAAAGAGAACAGTAAGCCTCGATGTAATGCTGCGCCGGTGTACTTCCACATCAGAAGACCCCTTTGAATCTCAAAGAAACTTAGATAAGCTACTCCCTCCTTGCCTCAGCCGCCCAGCGTGAATCCAGCTCAGCAACCCTTCGTCTGCTTCCGCCGACAGTCACCCCTGATGGACAATGATCCGGCCGACACAGCACTCGGCCGCCGCCTAGAGGCCACCGTTACCGTCGTGTCTCTCAGCTCGTGTGGGAGTAACTGGAGCAAAATCGATTTCGTGTGCGTCCATTTCTTCCTTTTCAGTCGCAATTAAAATACAAATCAGAGAAGAAGAAACCAATAAACGATGAAGATGATGGGAAAAGAAATAGAGAAATGCCTGAGTGGGTGAAGAGAGTTGGTGATAAGGATATACATTAACGAAGGAGGAAGGGGCTGTAAAGCTGAATGAAATCAGTGGGTAGGTGGGTCTTGGGTAATGAAATTAAAGAAAATTTCAGTAACCGAAGAGGAATGGACAGTAAATGATGAAGGGTATAAAAGTGAGTTCACTTAGTATTTCCTTCCTAAAATAAAAATGTTGCATTTATTTTGAAACTGCCAGAAAATGAAAGTGGTGCACTTATGTAAAAACGAAAGAAGTATTAGTTTATTATGTCACTACAATTACTAATAGGGCCGTTGTGGAATGTCACTGAGCATTAGAAAAATAAATAATAATCATGGCGAAAGTGTCTCGAGGGTAGTCATGGACTCGGGCCGGATCGGGCCCGGAACCGGCCCGTCCTTCGCCCGGTTCCGGTTCGGGCCGGGCCAACCGCCCGGGTCCCGGGCCGGGCCACCCGCCGGGTCGGGTCGGGCCAATATAATTTTTTTGTTACTTATTAATACAACTTAAATATGAAATACATTTTTCAAAAAATACTAATACAATAAATTATAAGTTGTAAGTTTGTAACCAATTAATTAATTAATTTGAGAAGTGCTACATTTTAAAAAAAAAGAATGTATATTTATTTGAAATATGAAGTACAACTTTACAAATTACAATAGAGAATTGAGGGAAAAATTAAAACATGAAATACATTTTATAATAAATTGTAAAATACTAATCATCCGGAATCTCCGGCATAGGAGCCACCCTCAGTTTTTGATTTATCCATAAAGTCTTGGGAGGGGGTGATGCTAATTTCTTGACATCTACGTATGGCCTTCAACCAATCGTGGTAGCATATAAGCGTCTCAAGAGACTTCGCGCTCAAACTCGTTCTAGATGCCGTTAGAACGTTGCCGGCCGAACTAAATTCTTGTTCCACGGCAACTGTTGAAACCGGCATTGATAGCACTTGCTTAGCCATCCGTGCCAAAATCGAAACATTCTTTCTTTTGACTTCCACCACTTTAGAACGTCAAACTCCTCATTTTCGTCAAATTCTACCTCATAATTTATATACAAAGAAATCTCATTAAGTGCGCTTTGTTCAGTAGTGTGAGTTGTTTTAGGATTTTTCATAAGATTGCCAAAAGCAGATTTAAAAAGTGATTTTCCTTTAGATGAAGATGTGTGTGTCGGGGGAGGGGGCACGTTGCCATGTTGTGCACGAAACTCATTAATTAAGGCATAAAATAAATTACTAACCTCGTTGTATTCAACTTGCGGATCTATGGCGTTATCGTCATACATTGGAAATGGACCAAAAAAAGGGTTATAATAGAACTTCAAGCATTCTTCCAAATTACCAAGTCTATAACGAGGATCGAGAATAAATGCAATATCATAAATATGTGGAATATGTGCATAATATTTTAAAAACTTTTCTTTCATAAAACCACAAAAATAACTCACATAAGCAGCATTCTCAAATTCATTAAAAGCACCGGCGAGATTAACAACTTCACGAATAAATTCGTTTAAGGTAGGTTTATAAACATGACTAAAACTATAAGTTGCATTATTAAAATATATCAAAACATTACAAATTTTTTCGCAAGTGTCGATGTGAGCGGAGTTTAAAATATAGTTATCATATTGTTTTTAAAAAGAAGGAAAATTTTATTTATATCTAAGAAGAACTTTAATTAATTTATAAGTAATATTCCACCGAATAGACAAATCTTTAGGAAAAGCAACATATTTCACACCTCTTTCAATCAAATAATTTTGTCATTTTAATTTAAGTTGACCATTGCCCCAAATTCGTCTAATCCCCCCCTTGACTACCTCCATAGCATCTCCTAACGCTTTTATACCATCTTGCACACATAAATTTATAATATGGCATGCACATCGTTGATGAAAAAAATCTACCCATCAAAGTATTAGAACCACACAATTCACGTCATCTAGGTATAGCAACAGTATTATTAGTAGCATTATCAAAACCTATAGCAAACACCTTATGAATCAAATTATACTCAGTTAAAATATGTTCAATTAAAATATAAATATGTTCAGCGGTGTGACGATCATTAAATTCACGAAAAGCAAGAACACGTTTATGAAAATTCCAATCATTATCAATAAAATGTGCAGTCAGGCCCAAATAATGTAAATTATGATAAGTATCCTCCCAAATGTCAGAAAAAATAGTAACACGGCCACCAAAGTTTGCAAAAAAAAAATGTAACCTATCCTTTTCCGCACGATAAAGCCTTATAATTTCTTTCTTAATCGTTTTGCGACTATAAGCTCTAAATTGAGGATTTAAACAAGTTTGTGCATAATCTTTAAAAGCAAGACTTTCAGAAAACAAATAAGACAAATTTTCTTCAACAAGTAAGTTAGCCATACCAGTCAAATTTCGTGCATCATCGTATGAGAAATTACCAAAAGGTTGGTCATTTGCAAACCTCGATATTTGAGTTTGCTTTCCCTTGCCTTTGTCTATTTTCGCATACTCCACAGAGTGCGCGGACTTAAGATGCCTTTTGAGGCTCTCGTATCCGTCGGAAGTTCCCAAGCTATACTCCTTCTTGCAATGATTGCAACTTGCGTACCATTTATCGGTTGTTTTGTCTTTCCTCTTTGTAAAATTATTTTCTATAATAGGAGATTTAGATTTCTTACCAATTTGGGATGAACCGCCCTCGTCCTCCAACTCTTGCTCATCATCCGGGGTGCCGTGAGTCCCGTCGCCCCCCTCGTCCTCCTCCGCGTCGTCATCCTCAATCTCCCCTTCATCAATGGACTCCGGGATGTTTTGTTGTTGGAAAAAGCGACCATCATTTTGCGCCAATAGTTGTTGTAGTTGCTCGTCGGACATCGCATCCCCATCTCGCTTTTGGTATCCCGTTTCAAAATCTTCTCGACTTTGAGAAGAAGACCCGGTCTGCCCTTTACCTTTGCGTAAATTAGGATGACTTGTCGCAATCTCCTTCCTTCGGTTGCGTTGGAGATTACTCATATCTACGGAATGTCTGCCCCGCTCCATCTTTAAAATGTAACAAATATTATATGATATCAAATGTTTTAGTATGAGTACAATAGTAATAATAAAATGCGAATAGGGAAATGCAACAATTAACAAATTAAATAATAGGGAAATGAAAATTGTAACAATTAACTAGTTTTATACTTTAATGCAACAATTAATAATTAACTAGTTTTTTACTTTTATGATAAATGCAACCATTAACAAATTAAATAATAGGGAAATGAAAAATGTAACTATTAACTAGTTTTATACTTTATGATAAATGCAACAATTAACAAATTAACTAATAGCGAAATGAAAAATGTAACAATTAACTACTTTTATGCTTTAATGAAAAATGTAACAATTAACTACTTTTATACTTTAATGAAAAATGTAACAAACTACTTTTATACTTTAATGAAAAATGTAATTAATTAACTAAATTAGGATAATGAGAAATGTAAAAATTAACTAATATGATGAATTTAATTACTATGAATTCAAGTGTAACTATAACTAATATATAATATAATGTTTATAGTATATAATATATAAATATTTTACTATAAGATGAGTAATACACCTATATATAATACTTTAATATATATAACTATATAAGTAAATAACAATAAATATAGATAATAAAGTAAATATTAAAAAGATGGAGATGTATAAGTAGATAATAAGTATGTATTAAGTAGATAATAAATATTAGTAATATAATATAGCTATATAAGTAGATTATTGTATAACTAATATATAATATAATGTTTATAGTATATAATATATAAGTATATTACTATAAGATGAGTAATACACTTATATATAATACTTTAATATATATAAGTAAATAGCAATAAATATAGATAATAAAGTAAATATTAAAAAGATGGAGATGTATAAGTAGATAATAAGTATATATTAAGTAGATAATAAATATTAGTAATATAATATAGGTATATAAGTAGATAATTAATATATAAGTAGATATAATAATTATATAAATAATATATATATATATATGTAGAGAGGTTTGGAGAAGATGAAGATGGAGATGATTGAGTATGAGAGAATAGAAAATTAGAGAGTAGGATTGTATGAAGATGGTGTGAAAAATGTAGAGAAAATAGGAGTACAAATAGATTTTTTTGGTATCCCCCCCCCCCCCCCCCAAACCCCCCGGACCCCCCCTCCTCCCCCTCCAACGGCTATAGAGCCGTTTGGGATTATTCCCAACGGCTAGGAGCCTTGTTCAATTTTTTTTTTTAAAAAAAAAATAGCCGTTAGAGGCCCGGCCCGGCCGGTTCATCATTTGAAAGGCCCGAGCCCGGACCGCCTACCTACCGGGCCGGGTAGGCCCGAACCGGCCATCTGACCGGTTCCTGGGCCGGGCCGGGCCGGAACAGTACCGGTTCGGGCCGGTTCTGGTTCGGGCCGACCGGCCCGAGTCCAGGCCTACTCGAGGGGCAGGGAATGAATAATAATGTACGGATTATGGTTCAAAAAAACTGTACGGATTAAGAAGAGGAAATATAAACTAATTAAACAAAGGTTAATCACATTTGTGAAAGAAAAAATAGTCATTTTTAATACTCTCTCCGTCCTAATATAAAAGGCACATTTGCGTTTCTAGAAATTTTAAGGGTGAACACTGTTTGAACACTGTTTGGCACTGTTTAGACACTGTTTGGCACTGTTTGGACACTGTTTGGCACTGTTTTGCACTGTTTTGTTTGCCAAAAAGGGAAATATGCCTTTTATATTGGGACGGACCGAAAAGGAAAGTGTGTCTTTTATATTGGGACGAAGGGAGTAACATTTTTACAAGAAAATATTAAAGATTTAGCGAAACACATAATTTTTTGTTTCGCGCATTGCCTTAGATTATACGTAGTACTACATAGAATAATCAAAATAAATAAGATTGAAATTACTTTTTTGAATAATTACACTGAAGTTACTTTAGGTCGCTTTAGCTATTTTATATATAATTTTTTCTTTATTTTATTATTAAAATACAGAGTATATTTTGAATTTAATTTTTTAATAATTCAATTGATTCTCTCATTTTAGCCAGAACTTCATAAATTTCAACAAAATAAGCCAATTCAGCCGATTTTAGTATTATCAAAGTCTCTTAATTGTGTTTTTATCTTAAAAGCTATAAGCCAAATGATTTGTGATATCATATCAATGTTGTCCACCCAAAATGTGTGAGTATCATTTCTGTAAAAAATGTTAACAACGTCCTATTTTATGTTAGCAGTCTTAGCACGAAATATCCTATTGAACTGATAGTCGAGAAAAGCACAAGCCATTTTATTGGATATGTGGGATTTTATTGTATAGTCGAGAAGACAAAATTCAAGCAACAACCCAATATTATGCAGTCGCAAATCAGCACGTCATATCTGTAGTACAATATCCACACGATCAGCCATCTCTAGTTCTCTATATATGCTACACTTCGACTAAGTAACTAACATAAGTTACATAACATTATCCACAGCAATCTCTCTGTGATATCAGTTTTCCAACACACTACAATCAGCTGTCTTATATATTCACAAGTTGCAGTCTCTCCTGAAATTGTCCTAGAAAGCTGTATATGTAAGGAAAGAACAAGTCCTGCACACCCTGCAAAATATTGTATTTTCTCGCTCAAGTACACTCAAAAGGGCAGCTGAAAAAGATAGTAGTAGATAAAGGCATATCTATGGAGCGTATTCTTTTCTTTGTTAACGCCTACGCGATTCTTTTTGTGGAACATCGAGTCCCAACATAAAACTAACTCGCATACACCTGCTCGACGTAGGCTAATTTCTGATTAAGTAACCCATTCGAACTAGCTTCGGACGGGAGGATAATCATTGGACAAAATTCTTATTGACCTCCTTGATGATTTAAACTCAAGACCTCCCGACAAGGGAGGATTCTCAAGTGTGGGAAGTGACCACTCCTTATAAAAAAAGCATTTCAAGTGTGGCATTGTTCAGAACACATCCACTAAAATTCCTTAATAATTATTCAAAAAAAGGTACATGTACAGATTATTTTCAAGACTGAAAAGAAAGAAAGATGAAGTTAAAACAGAAGATCATACCAGTTCAGATGTCATAATCAGACTTGGGGTGGAGACTCTGGTTCAGAACCAAAAACAGAAGAGAAAGACAGGGTCTCTTCTTTTGCGATGGCCATGAAATTCAGAGGAGCTGGTGAAAGCCTTCTTATTCCCTTGTTGGAATACCCATTTTGATGTCCAGGATGGGAATGAGGTGTCAAAAGTTCGGGAGTTGGCTTACCAACAGATCTCCGGCGCGGTGAGGGAGTTGATGGAGTTACAGATCCATTGATATTCTTAAAGCTACTGCTGGTGGTGCTTCTTCTTCTTGGGCTTGGTTTAGAGCCATAGATTGCTTCCTTTTCAGCAAGGAGCATATTCTGGTGTTTCTTTTGATCCTGCAAACAATGTGGAAGTAAAATAGATAACCCTTTCGGCAAATGGTGTTCCCACAAACATAAAACATTCTGCTTTTTTCTTTTCTTAGACTTCAAAGTGGTGAAGTTTGCCTGGAGTCTTCTTGGGGTAAACAGAATGCTACTACAGTATAATACAATGTGATTCAAATGCTATAATTTCGCATATAATGTTAAAAACCTTCAATTTTTATAAAATCTCAAAGACTTACCATAATTGTGGACTAAGCACTCCAAACCCGTCCATTAAAACAGAGCTAGGGTATGCTTTTGAGTTTAGAATTTGGAGGGTTTTAGAAAGGAAGAGATGGGTGAATCTATTTAGTTGCAAAATTAAGAGAAATATGTCTGATTTATGGCGAAGGGGGAGTCTTGGCGCACCGGTTACAGTGTTGCTGTGTGACCGAGTGGTCACAGGTTCAAGTCTTGGAAGCTGCTTCTTGTTAAAAAGACATGCACGGCTTGCAGGAAAGCCAATGTGCACCGCCTTGCCATTTTTTATGTATGTTTTATGGTAACAAATAGATGAACAGGTGTGCTGTTAAAGATTTATCATTGAAACTATACCAATTTATCATCTTTGTATCCTTAATTTTAAAATGTAATCACATATTCACATTAAGGTGCTGTTCTCTTAAAATTAAAAAAATACCCCAGCTCACCCTAAAAACCTAACTCCCAAACACATACTCTCAAAACGTAATAATGCAAGTCCACAAGTAAACTATGTTTTGGGCAGATTTTTGTTTGAATCCGCCTACATAAAACTGAGTGAATTTTTTGTATTATTGAAAAGTTACCCGAGCACGCCTCGTCTCCTCCTCTTTCTGTTGTCGGATCACTTTGTAATCCTCCAATATTGACACCAAGCGTTCCTGCCAAGCACAAATAAAGACAGCGCATTTGGTTGGATATGTGAAAAGATTACCAAGGAAATTCTAGCAGCACGGGAACTCACCCCGTCATACAGAAATAACTTCTTCTTCTCCTTTTCCCAGGCTAGCGTCTTGGTGATCAGATTCACAACCATTCCTGAATATAAGATCCAAGTAATAAGGCAGCTCATAAAAATTTGGTGCAAACAAAAATGTAGGGGTGGATTACCTGGAATCTTACTGACTAGAACTCGAGCTCGTTCGGCTCGCTTTAAGTTTAGGTGAGCACCTCTTCCACCACTATAATGGTTTTTATTCTGCCATCAAGGGAGCTATTAAGACTTGGAAAGATCGAAGAGTCCAAAAGACTTGCAAAATTGATAAAATAAGAATATGTATTATGTGTAATTAGCATTGACATTGTAGATTGACTTTTTAGGTTGACTTTTTAAAATGAACTCTGATGACTTAATACTCCATATATGATATATTGATATGAGGGTCAGCTTGATTCGTACTTATGTAAATCCCTACGAAAATTGACAAGTATGGTCTTTGCAAAATCCTAGGTAAGTATAAGCACATGACCTCTCTCAATGCAAACAAATTAATCTCAATAAATAAGTCATACCAAAATATTTTATCGGCATTTATCGGTATAATCTTTTGAGGAGTACCTTAATTTAGGCCCTCATTAAAATAATAATATCATATTAAGGTTTATGAAGGAATTCCTCGGCAATATAAAATTCAATGGTGTAAACAGTGAATGCATTTTTTGCATGTGTGGCTTACTAGGTTAAAATCTTCAAGCCAGGTTTCCTCCTCACAAGCAGAAAGCCATCGC